GTTTAAACATTTGTTTAACAACAAGTAAAAGCTTGGAATGGTCTATTCTTTCACTGGGTTGCGTGTCTGTGAGCCAGACTAGTTTTAGATAATTCCACTCCTCATCAGTGTACCCATTCCAAGCTTTTACTTGTTGTTAAACAAATGTTTAAACAACTCTTTTTATTCAATTATGTACAAGCTGCCCAGTGTTGGCTAACAGTACGAAGAATTAAATTGTAGCAAAATGTTACATGTTCTTCAAATACCTATAGAATGATAGGTTTCTTTTTTGTGAGTGTAAAACACTTAAATACACCAGTTAAATTTTCAGGTATGTTCCTTTTCTTATCTTTTGCTTGTGTCTTTTAATATTGTCCATTCTTTACTCCATGCACCCAATTTTTGGAGTTACCTTGTCTTTCGTCCTTTGCTTTTATTAGGGTTTATTCTGTATCGTTTCTATAACAGCTCCTCACTCACATGCCTCAAGGTTTGTTCACTTCTCTTTGGCAGCTTAGCCTGTTCCACTTCTTCTTCTCTGTTCCTCCTTACTTAGTTCCCTTGCTATTTGGACTCATTGGGTTGAATTGCATTCCTCTTTACTGTCCATCTTTCTCCTTTTTCTGTACGTGCTCTTCATTGGGCTCCTTTTCTTTGCCCAAAAGTCTTCAGTGGTGTTAATTTTTCACTGGAAACCTGGACTGAAGTTGCACAACTTTGGTCCTTGTTATTTTTCTAGGTTTTTTCTTTCTTGAACTTGCCCTTTGTCTCCTGTTCCTCATTTTGATCAGTCTACTCCTACTCTTCTCATTTCAGGTTCAAGGCTTTCCTCTTTTTCTTGTCCTTCCACTATCCAAAGTCTGGTTCATCGCTCATTGTGTCAGTGTCTGTCATGTCAGGCCCTGCAGACACCTGTCTCTTTTTCATTGCCAGCCATTGTTTTCAGTTTCTGTCAACAGATGTTTTTCATGTTTTCTCCCTTCTTCTCTTTGCTTATCTTCCCATTTCCTTTTCTCCTCCCCTGACCCCATCTATGGTCTTTTTTCACCCAGTCTGTGGTTGGCCATGGTCAATGTGTCAGACACTTTCCTGCACTTCCTTATTGCCCCATTCTTCAGATATTTTTTGCATTTTCATGAGATTTGCATCTTCCAATTTCTTGCTCTTCCTTTTGACATAACACTGGCCCCTTTGTATTCATTTGTATCAGGAGGGCCTTTGCTCTCCATCTTCATGGCCTAGGATTATCATTTCTTTTCTTGAATGATTGGCTTCTATTGGGAGGTATCCTCTTTTCACACCTCCCTTCTTTTGCAAGAGGCTTCTTGTTTAAGCCTACACTTTGTTTAAATATTTCATTTATTTATCAGAAAAAGAATAACCCCTCCTCCTTCAAAAACAACATAAAATGTTGATGCAAAACACTTTTAATCAAGTGTTAATAACTAATCACCTTTAATATATTGGTGGTTTAAGGACATTTTTAAATTTATTGATATCCCCTGAACAAAAATAGAAAGTAGGAGCTAACAAAATGCTAGTTTTGATAGGCAAGTTCTTTTTATTTGAGAATCTTGATTTTCATCAAGCTTGTATACCAAATTTATTTATTACTTATCTTGAAATTTATTTCAAGTCACATGTGCAAAATACCTTTCTATTCTTAATCTCTGCAAGTATGAGTCTTATAATTATCTTTTGAAGGGATTTGGTTATTGAGTTGTTGTGTGATAGGCTATATTTTCTGGAAAATGTGAAATCTCACTTGAAACTTTAAACATATGTAAGTCTTGGTATCTGCTTCATTAATATTATATTGTTGATATTAGTAATTCAAATACACCAGAAAATATAAGCATAAATATTTTAACCTTGCTGCTGTTTTTTTTTGCAATACTATTAGTCCAAATTATTTTATTTTATTGATCAGATGAAATTTTGCTACCTCCAGAGGAACTTTCATTACAAGAACAGAGAGAATTGGGTTACCTACCAAAGAGAGACGATTTTGAAGTGGTGAGAATTTAATCAGTTTCAAAACATAAATAGGTGACTTTTATAAACATTTAAACAATTCACAATACAATAACATTATGTGTGAAACAATGTAGGATAACAACTAGTGTAAAATGACCATGCAACATTTTTATTCTACATGGATAACACACTTTCATATATTTTTTTTTGTTTTAAAATGAACTTATGTGAAATTATTTCACAGAATGTTTTGAATGAATCATTCAAATATGAAAGTAATTCTATGTCTGAGTAAACTGTTTAAAGATTTTTTTAAATGTTTTTAGCATTGGTAATAATATCGATTGGTGATGTTTTTTACTGTTTTTTTTTTCTAGGATGTTATTAGTTGTGGTGGTGTTTTATATGTAACATATATGCCTAGTACTATTAATTACCAAGCTGCCTTATGTTTATTATAGCTACAGAATTTACCATTTGTACAGGCTAGTCCAAAAAAGGGAAATAAAACTATATGAAATATACTTTTATTTAATTGAATTATGTCAATGATCAGAGACAAATATGTATATTTTTTGTAGAATTCTCTCAATTTTTAGGAATTTTCAAGAGTTGGCCTATTTTTTTTATACCTACCTGCTAAAGTCAACAAATCATCAGTACCATTTCAGTTACCTTTTTTTTTCTACACCATCTTGTTGTTCTTGAACTTCATAAACTAATTTATCCAAAACACTATTCATTTCACATTATTTAACAGATGAATTTTGTTTAAAACTAAAAGATAAGTGTATGATACTGCATTGCCACAGACTCGAGGAATATAATTTCTGTTGAACAATTTTATCTTCATTACACTTCAGTAATTGGGGTACTTCCTGATAATAACAACAGTATAGTCATTTAGTTTACCATCAAAGGGAGAGTAAACGTCAACTTTTACATTACGAAATTTGTTGTAGTTTCGTACCAATTTTGTAATAAGATTTGTTAAAGAACTTTTGTATAAGTATATTTTTTTGGACCTGAATCTAGATTTGCACATGTTTAAGTGTGATCGGAAAGTCTTTAATAATTAAGTATTTCATATTGCAAAGAAGAACAATTTAAAACAAATAACTTTTCTCATTAGTATCTGTTTTGCATGCAGTTTCTTCTCTTCAGTAATGCACCTACTGATCACTGCCTACATTAATCCTTATAAATAAAAATGCCCACATTTGGTGAAATTAGCAAAGAATGAGCACTTCATTTACTCTAGGAACCCTTTCTCCATCTGATTTCAATGAAGAGTTTTCATTTCTGGAATAATTCTTCATTCTCATGCTAGTTCTTTAATTTTTATACCTAATTTACTTTGCATTTATTCATGTTTGAGAATTTTATTCAATGATTTTATGCATTTTAAAAATTAGATTTTTCCTTTGTATTTTTAAAGTATTCTTTATTTCTTTTTCTACAACAATGCTTTAAGCTATGACAACAACCCATACCATGTTTTACATTAGGTACATATATGCATTATTGTTATTGTTTAAGTATCATTTTGATATACTTTTGTTAGTATAAACATCACCTGAGGAGAGGCTTAGGCTCAAAATCTTTTGAATAACTTTATAAGTCACCTTCTAGATGAACATCTTTCAAGTGTTACCATTTTTTCAAACAAATAAATATGAAGAGGCAACTTTATAGAACTCTTTAAGGCTAGCAAGTATCTTAATATACTTCTAGACATTTTTCATTGTCATAAGAGTTTTGAAACTGATACGTGATTGGTTAGATGAAGTTTGTTACATTGTTCTAACCTTTGTTTTGTTTTTAGGTCTATGAGAATAATGCAGAATCATTAGTTTGTAATTTATGCGTCCATAAAGATGAAGAAGAGGTTTATGTAGGTAAGTCAGCAAGTGATCATTCAATCTTCTCTTTACTTTTCTTTACATTCTGGTGATGCTGCATTCACTCAAATGAAGCTGCAATAAATAACTATTTATAACTATTACACCATAAACCAAATCAAGCAGGACTTTTTGCATAAAGGAAATTCAGTGTACTTAAAATGGAAAGTTGGTTTTGGTAGACTCAATGTATAATGGATTTTTTATTTGATATAGAAAAGTTTGAAAGAAAGCTTTCCCATGTTTTATCAAGTCCATTCTGTTTCAGCTTTAAGTTTAGCACAATTGGATGGATATAACTGTAGATTGAGAGAGAGAGATCGGAGACAAAGAGCAGCTAGAGAACATGGACTATTTTGGGAGTTTTTCAACAAATCAAAATCCAGTGCTCCCAAAAAAAGGCTGTACGATAAAAAAGAGTAAGGACTGATTTATATTTATTATGAATCTCTGTTACTAAAGTAAGAAGAAAGATTTCTTTTTAGAGATGTGTAATTAAAAGATTGTCTAGTGAAGGGATCAAGGTGTAGCTTAATGGTTAGCATATTGGGCTACAGATAAAAGGATTGAGGTTTGAGTCCATACTTTTAACTGTGGGGATGCTGTGTCCTTGACAGTTTCGTCCACTATTAAATTAAGAGTAGCCACATATAAGTGGATGGGTGCTACAGACTGATTGCCATTCTTTTGGTCAGTAGTTTTAGTTATGGCTATGCTTGAACCTTAAGGACTTTTTATCTGACCATTTAGGCTGTGAGTAACACCAGCACCAAATATAATGAAAAAAACTAAAGTTTTGCTACATTGTTAACTCAGGAGAATACTGATTTAGAATAATAAACTATTAATAGTAAACATTTTACTTAAAATTAGAGTTAACTAGTAAAGCAGTAAAATTTGATTGCTTTGGTGTCTAAATTATTTATCTTTAAATTTATTAAAGGGAATTTCAAGAGAAGGTGAAAGTGTTCTGTCAGTTCCAAAGTGGTGCAGAAAGGTGTGAGTTTTTGAAAAATATACAGAGTAAGTCAGTAATTACTAGTTTTCCAATGAGGAGACACTGTTGTTGTTGTTGTTTCACTGAAGTATAAATGCATCTTTATTGATAATGTATAGGCACCTCTTATTATAATGAAAGAGAACCTTTTCTAAATAAACAATGATCTTGTTGAAGGTTGAGAAATAAAAGCTACCACTAAAATAGTACTGAAACAATCCCTCAGAATATTTAGTTGTTGTTGTTTTTTTCAAACAGAAAAATGGATTTGGACTTCTGATAGTTTAGTTAATGAAATAATCTACTAATTCAAAAATATAAATATTGTTGACGTTATTATACAACAAATATAATCGTATGCTTGTATTAATATTCTTAAAGTGTCAGCTGCCGAAACTGAGATTTCCAATACTCACCGTTAGTCTAATTGTCTTTATAACTAGAAGAAGAAGATCTGAAGAGAAAGATTGAACAATTGATGAAATATAGGAAATGTGGTCTAACTAAGCTTGATGGTATGTTCCCTGTCCTCAGTTTGAATAAACTATTGTAGTGTTTTTGTCAGTTGGTTTATTGAAATCTATTAGTGAATGATGTGATGTTTGTAAATGTTTGAGTTATGATATGTATACTTTGACATAGTAATGTTAAATAATCTCCATTTCAAAAAAATTCAGGATTGTTTTGTGAACAGTTTAAATTTTCTATTCAAAATATACAGACTATTTTGGTCATCCTGATATTTTTTTTTGGTGAAAGTTTAATACAGATTTATGATTAAAAACTAAAATTATATGATACATAAGCATCAATTGTAGAAAAAATACAAGTTTGTTTTGTTGATTTTTATAACCACTATGTCATTTTCTTTTACATGTGCTTAGAAAAATTATTTCATTTAGGACTTCACTTATTGTGTGGCTGAACAATTTGTATTATTTTTTTCTTTAACTTGATTCTTCTACAAAAATCATAGAATGTTTGACAAAAAATTCACCTTTGGAAATAATATGTCCTCATCATAACTTACTAATGATGACTGAGGTAAATGTATTTAATATACAGTTAGTTGAACACATAGTATGTCATTATATTAGCATATGATACTCACCTCTAAGGCAAATTTATCTCATTAAAGGATTAATCAAACTTAGTCTCTGTAAAACAATATATTTCTCTGCAGTTAAAAGGTGTGGAAATATACTTATTGTAGAGTAACTTTACCCAATTTTGACTACATTATTTTATTCACTTTAAGTTATTAATTAGTTCAGAAAACTGGCAAGTTAACTGTAATTTATGAGCAATTATTAATATTTTACATACCTTCAGTTTATACACATGGGTTCAGACAAATGTATTCTAGGTTATTATCCTGCACATGTGAAGGCTTTAAAATTCAAGAGTCTTTATTATGACATTCAGAATATCATTTGTTAACAAACATTCTAAGAAGTGGACAGTATTAGTAGATGTTTGTTTCTACTGTAAAATTACATATTCTGGTAACATAACTAAAGATGTTTTATTTTATCACAGAATGTGAAAAATTTGATTCTATGAAGTACATGAAGAACACAAAGAAACAGATAAATAATAAATTGGTAAGCATAGTTAAAAGTTTTATACTGTAAAAAAAATGTTTTAAAAGTTACTAATAGTACTGTTATCATTCTCCAAGCTCTTAGCTGTTTTAAATGTTCCATAGTGTCAGGAGACTTGTAGTAAATGAAAAAACAACTTTATTACTATTAATATGAGAAGTTAGTTATGAATTGTGAGCCATATTATTTGCTCTTTGAAGAGCTTAAAATTTATATTTTGTAGGATTATTTTGAAACTTATTTTTACATTTGACATAAAATACATATTGGACTATTTTTATTTATTTATTTATTCAATAAATAATTGTCTCATATAGAACAACCATAGTGATTCGTTCATTGATGGTGGTCATGCGATTGAATAGCAGTATGTATTTTTAAATGTACCTTTTAGTAACTTAAAGTGAGTGGTAACTGTTGATAACAAACAATGAAGATGATATGAATTTCTTTTTTTTCCTGATTGAGCTTACTAGATCCTGTAGTCTAAAATGTTTATGTTTAAATGCAGGTATAATTTTTGTAGTTTCTGATATAAATTCTAAATTAAATTATTATATGATGATATTCATAAATGCTGGGATATACTGATGAGATCAAAACTTAATTTTTTGGAATATGAACAGATTTGTCTTTTTTTTTTTTTTTACATTATTATAATTTATATAATATGCTAATATTGAGGAGCTTGTGGAACAGAGAAAAGACTTAGATTGTATCAGTTTACCATTTATCCAGGGCAGTTCCAAAACCACCACGCACAAAAGATATGCAATGGTGTACGAAAAAGAAGGGTAAGTACAATTTCTTTATAGTGATTTAAATATCCTTCTATTTAGATATAACTGGTGGTAATGTTGATACATCTTATAACATTTTTGTTAATACAACATACTAACTACTGTAATTTTCTGGGGATTTTTAAAATTTTTTCAGTGAACATTTACCAAAATAGAAGTTTATTTACAAACAAGAAAGCTATTTAATTAGTATAAGGAATCATATACAATATATATATATATATATATATATATATAAAACAGGTGATTAGGTTTTGTAGCACTTTCTGTATTTGGACCTCTTATTATTGAAGTACTTAATATTTCAAAAAAAGAGAATGAACACTTGTGTCAGGGTCTGTGTTTTTCATGGTAACAATCAGGTCATTCCTTTGAGGTAAAATGGATTGAACCAAAAAAACCATTTCATTAGTATTTAAAACAGTACAGTTTGTTATTAATTTTTTTATGTGTTTGTAGTTTCTCATTATTTTGTAATTGTTCTATAAACAATTAGACAACTGAAATTTTTAACTTAACTGTATAAAACTTATTGCCTCTAAATTAGAAAGCTATGTGCATTTCCCATCACTTTAGCTCTGTTTAAGTGGACATGCAGAATTAAACAATTCAACAGAAACCATATTCAGAAAAAACTTTGTACTCTGTCTTTCTCAAACTTTTTTAAAATGTCATCTTGGACTATGTGATAGAAACATTTTTCTCTTTCTTCTACAACACCTTGAATCTTATGACCTAATTGTGCAATATAACTTTTCTATCATTTTTCTTACATTGAAAAATTTGTATTATACCTGACTTAAAAATTAGTTGTTGACTGAACATAAATTATTTTTTTTTTGTAAACATAGTTTTTGGTAGTATTATGCTACAGGCATGTTTATGTTTTTTGTGAAACAAAATTAAACAGTTTAATGTTTGTATTTTTTAATATAAGTCTAGGAAATGATTAAGTTTAAGTTGTTTAAAATACTTTTCAGATAATTTGTTTTAACTGCATTATACATGTTTCGATAGTGATCATGTATTGTTTGTGTTTATTATAGAAACTGCTGTGTAAAATGCAAAAATTAAGCCAGTATATGAACAATAAAACAAAAACTGTTTAAGTTGTTATCAAACACTAAAAATCATGAGTTTCCGTTATTGAATGGATGGAACCAAACATTTACATTTGCCAATTTTCAAGTAGAAAAAAAATGGACTTGCAGTTAAAAATATAAGTTAAACTGGTAAAATAGAAGAACAATCTCAAAACGAATCAAATACAATGAAGATTTTGTTAAAATAGATAGACAAAGTATTTTATGACCAAGCCATTACTAAGAAAAGAAAGCCATAAAAATGTTACCTATTACAGACAATATTGCCATGTTTAATTATCACATTCAAATAGCCCTTGTGTAACTTTGTGTGAATTTCTGAAATATACAAACAATATAAAAGAGTTTTAAAGTGCAGGTATTATTACTCTCAGAGTGAAATAACCACTAGATATCTAACTATAGAGATTGGAAAGTGTACAAGATGCTCATTGGTTGAGATAATGAACAGATTGAAATAAAGTGGGTGGTATTGAGTGATATGAATTGCTTAAATTGTTCATGTATATAAGTGAAAAGACAGTAAAATATAAAAAGAAACATGGCTATCGTTGTTAAGAACACTGTGATGATACAAAAACATATCTGTGGTGTACTAAACTGTATTATTTTTCATGTAGATCTAAATTTGCTTTATCTACTAGCACTTTCAAAAATTCATAGACTGTTGAAACTTAATTTTTTTTTGCAGCGGAAGAGGCATCACTCTTGGACACGAAAGAAAAAGTATGAATCTTTTTGGTCTTGAACTAGTTTTACATTTAAACAAAATTATGTATCAAATAAGTGGAATAACTGTTATCCTTAAACAGAAATGCATGTTTTCATGTCAATAAAATACAGCTACACCTGTACTCCGAAAAGAAGTGGTTGAAAAAAGTTAGGGAAGAAACAAAATGCTAATCAAAGATGTTTAATTATGTTTAAAAGAAAAAGTATATACAGTACAGTTTTGACAAATACCAGGCTTTATTTTTTGGTGCCCTGAAGTTATTTTGATTTTTCTTACAGAAAAAAGTGAAGTAATAAACTGGGTCGGTGAAGTGGCCCAATACACACCTGACATCTTCCTTAGACAGGAATGATCAGTAAGTGATCTTGCATTGCTCTTTCACCCTTTCTTGTATAACAATAGATGAAACAGTAAACTGGATCAGTGAAATGGCCCAATACACACCTAGCATCTTCCTTAGACAGGAATGACCAATAAATGATCTTGTATAACAATAGTTGAAACAGTAAACTGGATCATGAAACAGCTTAAAATACACCTGCTATCTTCCTTAGATGAGAATGATCAGTAAGTTATCTTGCATTGCTTTTTCACCCTTTTGTGTATAACAGTAGACTAGATGAAACAATACACTGGATCGGTGAAATGGCTTAAACCACACCTAGCATTTTTCTCAGACAGGAATGATCAGTAAGTGACCTTGCATTGCTCTTTCACTCTTTCTTGTATAACAATAGATGAAACAGTAAACTGGATCAGTGAAGTGGCTCAATACACATCTTACATCTTCCTCAAACAGGAATGATTAGCAAGTAAGATTGCATTGTTTCAACCTTTTTATTTGTGAAAGTTAATTAATTAATTGTTTATTTTTGCCCAACAAAATATAAACTATGTGCAAAGAAGTATCAATTACATTAGCTATTTTTACTTGCCCATAACAGTCAGATCAGTGACATCCTAAACAGTTTTAATCAGTGTATAGTAAGAGAAAAAGGTTGGCAATAAAACACTGTCTACAATACTTCGGAGTAAAATATATGTAGTTTGTTATGTGTTTACTTTTTGAAATTTTCTTTGGTTTTGATAAGTTAGGGCAATACTTTAGTAAAGGATGTTCTAGTAAGTTATAGTAATATAAATAAAATAGCCATAATAGTGATTATATTTTCAGTCAAAAACAAAAATAGTAATGTTGTTTTACAATTTTTAGATAAAATTGAACTTTAAGAATGCTTTACAGCTAATGAAATGCTTGTTTTATACCCAGTGAAACTAAGTTCGTGTTTAGTTTTTCTGATTATGAACATCAAATACCCTCTGATTCATGATGTTAGGAAAACACGTAGATTCAAGAACTCAATTTAACACAAGAATACGAAACCCTATAGCGTGCATGCTTTTGAAGAAGAAAGGTCCACCTTTTGAAAGTACTCGAGTTATAGGGTTTCATACTTTTGTGTTAAACACCCTTTGATAACATTATTGAGATGATACTTTAGAATTTGGTTAACAAGTCCTTTTTTAATATGATGACCAAACTCCCTTCTGTATAAAATCTGCTTTTATTTTAAGAAACTAGATATAGTAGCAATATTTATTATTTTATATTACAAGTTTTTAACAAAAGAGGATTTTAGTTTCATTAAAAAAAAAAGATACAAATGTTATTACAAAAGATATTTTAGTGGTCTTTAAGACAAGTAAGTGATCAAACACCTTCAAGGGTTTATTCTTGTTTAATAACATGTTCAGCATCAGATCCATTGAAAATAACCAGTCGTGATCATAATATTGCCATTGTTTATAAATACACTGAGGGTTTCAGGACATATTTTGTTGGTTATGATAGTAATTGCTTCCTTCAGTTCAATTTCCACAATAGACTTTTTTTCATGTGGCTAAACAGTAAGAAATCACATAGTTTGAGATATGGTAAGTATGGTGGTCCTACTCAAGTCCACTTGCATTTATTGACATTACTGAATTCACACTATTACTATTAATGAGCATGATATGACTGCCTGTACTTTTGTCGGTTTTATATGACACTTTCTGAGTGGCTAGATGGCAACTAGTCATAATGTAAATTATCAACACTTGATTATGTATGCTAGTACAGTTCTCTATCACATGATAAAGGGGTTGATTTCCCATACTTTGTCTTTTATATCCTTTTTCCTCTCTGTTTTCATTTTTTTCCAATATTATTTGTACCTGATTCGTAAAATGCACTTAAGAATTTGAATTGTTGTTTTTTCTTGAACAGATTAGTCTGGTGAGAAACAGGGTACCGGATGTGACCATCTTCTCCATGTCCCATCTGGATTGTCTTCAGAAATAGTTATTACACATTGAGAGTGGATCTCTTAATACTCAGGAATAACATTTTTCTCTTACAGCGACATATTTATTGTCATCACAATTATCTCTTCATCATGTTGTAAACATTTTTGATGCATGTTTATGTCCATATCAGTTTTTTATAATATAAGATATATGCAACATTTCTGTTTTTATAACAATTGTTATATAATTGCTTTCTTCCAATTTTAAAATAGCATTCTATAAAATGATTCAGAATACCTCAATTCTCTGTGAATGAAAACATAACACGGGGTCTGATCTAGGGATGATTTTTATAACATTAGTTAATCCAGTTTGCTAACTGTCAAAAAACCTTATATATAGTCAGTAACAAGTGCTGAATATTTTTAGAGGAGGAACTGTTATAATGAAAGGTAATGTTGATTACTGATGCTTGGTAACTTCCTGAAAATTGTAAAACATAAAATTCTGTACAACATAAAGTATGTTGGTCTAAATAAAACTTTCAATAAAAAAAAAATTTTCATTTAATATTAATAAAATTCACTAAAATAATAATTTAAAAAATGTTAAAATTTAATCTTAAATATTATGTTAGCTTTCAACACTCCCTTTGTATTACATAACATTTGGTTAGTGTAATTAGTCTAGTCACAATTGTAATTTCTAATCACAAAGTTCATCCACTATCAGTGACTGGTCCACTTTAAGTGGTTATTTAAGAACAGAATGATGTTATATTTAAAACATGGTTTCCAAAACTGTTCACAGTTTTGACAATAACCATAATATTTTGCTTACTCTTCTTTACTTTGCTCTATAGAAGTTATTTGTCTATGTCTAAACCCCATGTCACTGGTGTGTATGTATGTGTGAGTTAAATATATATATATACAGAAGTGTCACAGTTGCTAACGTAGAGTTCCCAGTTAATTTTAGTTGCATGTATTGCATACAAATTTCCCATGCCATTCATTGATAACTGATACTTAAGTATTTAATATATCCATTAGATTAAAGCATATTATATAAATTGTTGCAGTTTTATATACATTTTTAAAAGTATACATTTTGTTCCATCACAAAAAGTTTATTTTCACAAAATACACAAGGTAGTACTAAAGAATAGCTAAATCAGGTCCTGTAACATTTTTCTATTGTTTTTTATGTCTATGTTGTGTACAAAATCATTAGTGATCATGAGCTTAAACTTGTAAATATTTTAGATACATTTTGCCATTTTTTGTAGAACAGTGTTTACTTGTATGTTTCTATCTATTTATGTAACTGTTATGTGAAAGCAAAAGAGCTATCAAGATATTTTTACACTATTTTTCAAAACTGTTTCTTTGAGAATATCTTCTTGCATAAACTAATTGCAAAAGGATTGTTAATATCATATTTAGTTTATATTTCATTTTGTCAAATACTGGACAATGTTACAGACAAAAAAAATGTTGGTATCAAATATTTCTGATTTACAAAATGGAGTTATCACAGGGTTTGATATGATTTGATTTTATTCAGAATGGTGACTGTAGGATTAAAAAATGAACATTTTGGTGCAAATGACTGTTTTTTTTTGTGATTTAAGATAAATTAGATAAAGTTAATTTTACTTTTAGAATTTTAATTCATTTACAGTGTCTTCCAAATTTTACAGTAAGCAATGAATGGTTGTGTAATGTGACTCAAATTTAAATGAGTTTGGAAGACATAAAATTCGTTTTCAGTTTGAGCAAAAATAAAAGAAGTGAATACTCTCGATTTTTTTATACCTGTGAAAAGCAAAAACCCAAACTCAGCATATCACAGATCTATTGAAAAGTATGATATACAACTCTAGACAGAATTTGTTCAATTACTACTTAGAGAGTTAAATGATTTAAACTTTGTTAGTTTATGTTAAAAATTTAATTCTGTGGTGTAAAATACTCATTTATAAAATGAAAGTTTTTATCAAAATTTGTTATAAGAACAGTTTTCAGCAATGTTTACTTCCTTATTTCTTTTCAGAAAATTCATCTGAAAATAAAGAAACAAAATATTAAAATTATTTTGACCAAAATCAGCAGTGGATGTCAGTATAGTTAAGAAAAGATGTAAAAACAGTTTTAAAATTGAAATCCAAATACTCTTAGAAAGTAACAGGTAAAAGTAAACTATAAAAATGCACCAGGTAAAAAATGTGTACTACATTTAGGGACCAAAAAATGTAAATAATGTGTTGTTTTCTTTGGAATGTCCAATTATAATAATGTATGTTATTAGGTTAATATTTAAGTAACTGCCACACATATTGTGTTAATATGTATTCTGCTTACCAAAATTGGGTTTAAGTCTAACCCATAATAAAATGCAAATTAATATTGATTTATTTTTTTACTACCTCCCTATCTTTTACCTCTTCCCAAGAAAAAAAATGTCAGAGGGAAAATGATCCAGTTTAGCTTACGAATAATTGGTAAACCCACTTTTTATTATGTAATGTTCCCACAGTAAGTTTGAACAAACTGGTGATCTTTTGCATACATTCATAACTCTTTCACTTGTTGGATATTAGTTGTTTAGAAAGCTATAAATAAATTTACCCTATACAAGTCGATTTTGGTTCCAAATCTTTAAATAGGATAATTTACCCATTGTTGGAAACCTGTAAACTTTCTGCTGATGATTAGAGATATGTACGATTGAATCATTGTGATGTAGATGGATTTCACTCTTCTACTTATGGGTAGAATAAAAGGAGTTTCATTCTGACTTTTTTTGTAGTTTATGATAAACTTTAAGATACATACAAGTTTTAAACAGTCCATTTATTATAAAATTTAAGTTTTGATGTCATAACTTTACCTGGATGTTGTATATTATGCCTGTATGTTTTTTTGATATTAATGGAGATAGGAGGTTGATGAGGTATATATAAAATTTCTGCTAGCATTTATTGAAAAGAACTGATCAAAAAGTAAACTAACCATATAGATCAAAATTCAACTGATTTATGCAGTAGCTTATAAACGAATAAAGACAATGTCATACAGGTATATCAATACCATGTATATAATATGTAATAATTAGATGGCAATGAATCATCATTGAGGAACTCTTGCTATTACATATGATGTTATTTTCTTCATCAAGCATCATCTTATCTTATGGATGGAAAATATTTTCTTTACAAATTAACTTAAATGTTTTTAATTGTTTAGTAATTGGTGTCTAGTAACAAAAACAAAAGGAATTAATAAATAAATTTAGGTAATGGTGTAGGCTACTAACCATGACAAACTAAATTACTTGATCTTATAAAGTTTTTATACTTAACGCTAACTGAGTAGAATCTGATAACTTTATATATATATATTTTTTTTTTTCAAACAAATTACACTTATAAGAACGAAGAACTCCAGTGGAATAATGATTGATTATTGCAGTGTTAACGGAAACAAGGGATACAACCCATTCACTAGAAGGAGACACGTCTCATGAGAGTAGATAGATGTAGTGTAGTTAAATATCAACTATGCATATCTGTAACCCATGTAACTCTAGCTAAAAATACAGTAATAATAATCAGTGACATGTTTTCCTTCAAACTTAAGTTTCTTACTAAAGAAGATCGCAGGGATTTTAATTAGCAAATTTAAAATTAAATAAATACATTTATATTTTGTACTTGATTGATTGGCTGTTGTGGAAGTACCATGCATGGCCCTATATTTGCGGTTTATACATAAACAAAAACCCAGTATGTTTTATTGTGAATTCGGTGTTGTCATTGTGTTTGTACGTGTTTCCCATAAAATCAGTTGGACAGAAAGAGTAGCGTTTCTCTAGAATTTTAAGAAGCAAAAAACTTGTGGTTAGGGAACCATTTCCTATAAAACCCGTTTATAAGTGGAAAATGAAATCGGTAATGTAAGTAACGTGATGAAGAGTGTATCTAGTACAGAAATGCTATTTTAAAGTTACATTTTAATGAATAAATATAAGAGTATCTCCAAAATGTAAAGTAAAAGTAATGTTTCGCCGTTGTAGATTTACAGTTTGTAAATTATTGAGAAACTATAAGCTTCGTGTGGATGTTTTTGCTTTCTCTCGTTTTAATGCAAAGAATATATGGTGTGATAAGTTACACGGATGTGTAACGCATTTATCTAGCTGACAATATATTTACTGTATTTATAAAACGGAAGATGGAGTTACAGTTATTGTAACTGCTGATTTTAACTGTTTTATCATCTACGATTAATTTGGCAATTGCGTTTAAGGTTTCATCCTTTCTGTTGTGGTCACTGACTGTTACAATGATGTGAAAAAAAAAGGGGAGCGTTGAGTAAGTTATTATCAGTGGTGTAGGAAGAAGTTGCAAAGTGGGGGGGATTGGTTAGACATGCAGATTTTACAATGAGAGATGGAAAGTATAAGGGGCTGTCAAAAGCAGCTCCCGTGCTGCCAAAGACGGCTCAATCTAGGGAGGTCTGGGGGCTTGTTTGTTTTTAAATTTCGCGCAAAGCTACACGAGGGCTATCTGCGCTAGCCGTCCCTAATTTAGCAGTGTACGACTAGAGGGAAGGCAACTAGTCATCACCACCCACCGCCAACTCTTGGGCTACTCTTTTATCAACGAATAGTGGGATTGACCGTCACATTATAACGCCCACACGGCTGAAAGGGCGAGCATGTTTGGTGTGACAGGGTTTCGAACCCGCGACTCTCAGATTGCGAGTTGAGTGTCTTAACCACCGGGCCTAGTCTGGGGGCATGCCCCACAAAATTAATATAATTTACAGTTGCTATATAAGTAAAATATGTAACACCCCCGGTTCTGGTGCCTCTGCTTATGTTGTTCGGTAACTCCAGTAAGTTTACTCCTGTGGCTTGAAAATAGAATGAATAAATCGGCATTTTGATACTGGAAAACCAGGATGGCTGCGCGAAATTTTGAAAACACAAGAGCGTTTGGTGTTTTTATAATAAGTGATTCCAACCATACAACTGTTTGGATAAAGATAAGGCAACCTACTAATTAACCAAGATATAGTGACGATGTAGGTTTTGTTTGATCATTTAAAATATTACAGTTTGGGTAACAAAACTGATTGTTTTTACTGTACAAACAACAACTAAATATCTGGATACATGAGTAACAACACTTGTCGTTATAATGAAGTAAACATTTTCAGAGACAAAATGATCCAAGTTTTTAAAGTAAAATATATCCTGCCAGTGAAACACTGACTGAATAAATCTCAGGTCAACTTATTCCGAATATATACGTGTGTATATTTCAGTATCCAAATGAAAAATAATTGATTTATTTTGACATGGTCTGTAGTTTTCTTAACCGTTTACCTCGTGTTATTACTGTTGTGTTTGATAATTATATCAGTCGGATTCATGATCTCTGGTATTATTCACACTTCTTACTGGAATTAAGATCGTAATGGATGTGTTAATTTTATTTTTCATCGGAAACCTACACAATGGACTATCTGCGCCTTGTCCACCGCAGGGATCAAACGCGGAGTTATACCCTGAAGCTTGCCGCTGAGCCAATGAGGCCGTTTTTTTTTATTAAACCACAGTCACGAACTTATGTGATCCATCCACTCACCCCTTTGTTATGTTATAAAACAACAGCCCTTCATTCCTCAACAGGAAGTGTGGATGTTTGATAATTTCCTATAACACATTATCCAATACAAATAAATTCTTGATTATTATTATTGATCTTGATTCACGAAAAAAAAATGCTTTAAATTAATTCTCCATTTTTTGCCGTCGTATCTGTTGTAGTTATAGTTAATGATCAATATAAGTACATTCTAAATAGTTCCAGGGATACAAAGCAACGCTGTGTGATGCGTCACGTTGGTAAACTTGACAGGGAACATTTTTATTGAAGGAACATATGAACAGACGTTTTTATTTTTGTGCCAGTCTTATGATATTTTCAGTCTGAAATGTGCGCAATACAATAAAACCAAAATACACCAACCCTTAAGTTTAAAGAAGAATACACATTATTTCTCCGTTTCCTTTCAGGTTTTAAATATTCAAATATCATTTAAGCCCTTGATAATGCGTATAGGCACGCAGGCCTTTGCGGAGTTCCGAGCTGTTAAAATGCTACAAGTAATAAATTAATATACTTTTAGACCTATTATTGGAGTTAAAGTCACACTAGGCAACAGATTTTTCTTTTCCACATTCTTCTAAATTCCTTCTCTGAAGTATATCGTTGTAGTAAATATTCATAGCCATTCTATTTTTGTTGTTTGAGTTGGAATCAATAAATGTAGAGTTGTAATAACGATCATGGCCCCCAGTGGCACAGCGGAATTTCTGCGGACTTACAACGCTAGAATCCGGGTTTCGATACCCGTGGTGGGCAGAGTACAGATAGCCCATTGTGTATAATTACAAACAAACAATAACGATCAGGTTTGCAACTGTTCACCACTAGAAACATTTAACTATATTTAATTAACATTGCATCAAATAAAAATCGGATTAAGCTGTTTGTGTGTGTGTGTGATCCAAGAGAGTTATTTTACCGACAAACTGTGGTGGTTCTTACGTAAAGTAGTCTAAGTTTTATAGGCATGGATGGTCATCTATGACTGTTCATGAGCTATTTTACTGATAAAACTGTTGTGGTTCTTATGTAAACTAGTCTTAAATTTTATAGGCATGTATGGTTATCTAGGCCTGTTCTTAACATAGCGTCTGAGATTTACGACTGTACATATATATATATATACATATACACTTAACTGTATCTTACATCTACGGACTAGAGCGTAACTTGGGTGTGAGAATTGGTGGAGCGTCAGTTCATTTTGCCGAACAGGTATGGCTTTTCTTACATGTGTAAGAATTCTACTTAGTGAAATAGACAACTGACAAATTAGTAAATACTAAAACAATAGCATTTCAAACGACTAGAAATTTAGATTATCTGTTTATTCAGTAGGGCAATAGACAATCACTGAGTAAAAATGTTTATTCATCTTAAAGGTATAGCAATTAATTACTTACAAAGGTCGCAAAATTGCCTGATATGCTTGGAGAGTTGCCCGACAGGCGAGGAAAAATACCACGCTTTCTGTTAGTAAATAGTTTCATTATTCACATGGTGATATCATCAACTTAATAAGATACCTGTCCACGCTACGTGTGTAGCACTAAGTGTAGTAATGGTTTGACAGTGAAGTATTTTCCCCCCCCTCACTCCTTTACTGGATTAAGACCCTGCTTGGGACCTTCAAAGCTTGTTTGAATAAAATGCTGTTATTGTCTTTCCTGAAATAATAAGAGTGGATGTAATAAGAAAATGAAGTACAATCAGTTGTTCATGCATATGATATGAGATTTACTATATATACAACTGAGATGAATATGTTTCATATTTTATGTTACGCAATCGCAAATACCAGGCATACAGCTGACCGTTTACAATTATATATATTATCAAAAGCTTACGTTGGATGCAATAATTAACCCATTACGCTTATTGATAAAATAAACGTTTAATATAGCCGTGGGCTTTGTGATCCTAGCCCAAATGTATTGCAGTCACACCTTCTGCTTGAAAATATAAGAGTATGTGACGTCTGACATTCAATGCTGCACCCGCCCAACAAGCTAGATATGGAAGCGGGTTTGTTCAATGATTTGTAGAGAAACTATTAGATATACCTATATAACAACAAGTATAGCAAATATGTAGTTAGTTATAGACTTAACTTCCTGAAC